ATAACACCAACTATCGTACGACTAAAATAACTCATAATATAATCTCCTTATAATGTTAATAACCCTAGTATCACCCCAAAAGTACATGGTAAAATATTCCAACTTGTCGACTTTCGACGAAACTTATTTTCTTCAATTCGTTTAGCTTCTAAGCCTTCAAACCCTCTTGCTACTTGGTACTAATGATCTTAAATATTTGTAACCTTACTCTTACATACGAAAACACGGGGTGTAACATCATTCTCCCCTTTGGAACATTCGTCCTCGAATGTTGATTAATGCGCTTATCAGTCTCATAACCTGTAGCTCTTAAGAATTCCTTAATATTGTCCTTGACATCTAGGAAACTGTTCTGTAAATAAATCCAAAGGCCAGGGTATTCCCACCTTTAGGCTTCTTAGGATTAAAGTGTTTAGATGCCACTGATGTATGGATAATTGGATATTACTTTGAGAAGCAGGTTTTTGCACAGTTTTCTATCTCAGAAGAAAATTTGAATCATTTTAGCTGTCATTTTCTAAATAAGTAACAGTTTCTATAACTATATATAGGGGTTGTTTTACTTTCATACTGGGGATCGATGGTTTGTGAACTTTTGGAAGGAAAGGCTAATGGAGAAGGACGTTTCTATTCAAGCTTGGTGATGTTTTCTTTGGCCACTTTAAAGATGGATGGCGCCATGGCCGTTTTCTTTGTATCAACATTGACGGGACGAGGTATGTGTGTTCAGTTTTACAAACTTTTCTACTTTGGGTATCATTTTTACACCTTAAAATACCAAATGCTGAACTGGAATGTAAAGTTGCATTAACGCTGAGATACTGGTGCATATACCCGTTCAGTTCATATTTGAAGTAGCGTCCTGAGGAATAGACTCCTGCCTCTCATTTTTAATTTCTTTTTGGTGCACCATGAAGTTCCAATTTGCATAGAAGATTGGGTACCTTTCATGGAGAATCATATCATGTTGTAGGTTCTTTTGCACTTTCACTCTAAATTTTTCGATGCATGTTTCTATTTGCCTTCAACTCCTTCTGACTTAAAAATTTGAACTCATAGTCGACTAATCTTTCTTAATCTTACTGGTCGTTGCTGTTGTCGTTGTTTCTTAATCTTACTTATTTCTGGGCTGATCTATGATGCTTACACGTGTACACTTTTTTTGTTATTAACGTAATCTTCATGTTCTGCAGGAGTACTGAAGTATGGGATGAAGGCCTTCTACAAAGCCGGAAGAATTTGGATTCTGACACCGGAACAGGATAGAGTCTGTCTGGCATAATTTTAAAATGCTATCCTTCAGCCGTTCTGGTGCGTCCGCGAGAAACAAATGCAGAAGAATATCAACTGAGGGCTGATGTCTGTAAGAAGAGTTTTCTTCAACCAGCTCCACTGCTCGTAGCGCCTATGCTTTAGTAGTAGCAGCACTCAATTTTAATAACACTACTGTTGTATGAACATCCTTTAAGCATTTGTTTGTTCTTTATCTGTACTGGTGGAATCGAAATTGAATCTCCAATTGTACACATATGTTGTATATTCTGTATATAGTAATTTAAGTTTTTTTCTTTTCTTTTGAAGGACATTGCCTCTTGTCGCTTTACTTGCAGAGCCTTGTATATTTTGGACTTAAATGTTCTTAACTTGTCAACCATGTATTATGAGCTTGATTTGAGTTCTGGATTGGAAGTAGCTTACTTTTCCACAAGGTCTCCGGGACTACAAAACTGTCCTGTGAATCACTCTTTTAATAATACTCTTACATAATTCTCGGTTTACTTTGTTATTTCATTTTTTAAAGTATTAATCATAAGATAAGAACTCCCATCTATTCCGTACAAAAACTTCGAGGAGACTTGTTTCATGAGTTCTTTCATTCTTATTGTTACAATTAATAGGATCATTTCCTAGAGTACATTACATTATATATACTCAATCTCACAGTCTCACACTTTCCACTCATCATGCTCAACCACTCGGTACAGTATATGGCCCATACGGCCCAGGGAAAATCATCTCGGAACATATACAACACTGACTATAAGTCACCCAATACCGAGGAAAAAGGGCAATCCAACCCTGTGGAGAAATCCATCTCCAGATATCAAGTACTTCGGACAAATCCATCCCTCAATAGTATCATCCGCGCTCACTGGGGGTGTGTTACAGACTCCGGAGGGGCTCCTGCAGCCCAAGCGCTATCATAATATCAATATAACCGCTACGACGTGCAGCCTGATCTCATAAATGTCACTCAATCAGGCTCGTCGGCCTCATTCAGTCATCAATCTCTCCAGTCTTACCCAGGTGCTCACAATGTCATGAAAACTAATCCGAAACAATGATATGATGTATCAGTAAGTAACAACTGAGACTGAGATATGATATGAATGCATGAATATGACTGAGTACGAAATATCAATGAGATAAGTGAGATGACAGCAAGCAACGACTATTACTGGTCCTAACAATATCAGCATAAAGCCTAAACATGATATCTAGCATGATTGACAACTCAGTTACTTTATCACATGGTGAAAACACAGATATCAACAAAAATAGGGCCACTATACAGTGCCATGAAAATAACGGAGTCACGATTCACCAGGTGTACGCCCACACGCCTGTCACCTAGCATGTGCGTCACCTCATCATCAATCACATAACACGAAATTCGGAGTTTCATACCCTCAGCACTAAGTTTAGAAGAGTTACTTACCTCGAACAAGCCAATTCCAATATCGAGTAAGCCAAGTGATGCTCCAAGAATGCTATCACGCGCGTAGCGACCTCCGAACGGCTCAAAACTAGCCAAAAGCAACTCAAATACATCAAATAAAGTCCAAGGAAATAGTTCCAAATGATAAAGATCGAATCCTAAATCAAATCCCAAATCCGGCCAAAAATCACACCCAGGCCCGCACCTCGGAACCCAACAAAACTCACAAAATCCGACAGCCCATTCAATTACGAGTCCAACCATGCTAGTTTCACTCAATTCCGACTCCAATTCGATGTTCAAAACTCAAAAATTCATATTATGAAACTTTAAGCCAAAACCCCCAATTTCCTCTTTAAAATTCATCAACCAAAAGCTAAATTC